CAGCCCCATTACAAAGTGGGCAAAAGATATGAATAGACAGTTCTCAAAAGAAGACATATGAGCAGCCCACAGATACATGAAAAAATGTTCAGCCTCACTAGTCATCAAAGAAATGCAAATTAAAACTACACTGAGATACCACCTCACCCCAATCAGGATGGCTATCATCAATAACTCAAAAAACAACAGATGCTGGAGAGGATGTGGCGAAAAGGGAACACTTCTACACTCCTGGTGGGAGTGTAAACTAGTACAGCCTTGTGGAAAACAGAGTGGCGATTCCTAAAAGATCTAAAAATCGACCTTTCATATGACCCCATAACCCCCCTACTGGGAATATACCCAGGAGAACTCAAATCACTCTATAAAAAAGACACCCGTACATGTATGTTTATCGCAGCATTGTTCACAGTAGCAAGAACATGAAACCAACTGTGCTGCCCATAAAAAGAGGACTGGATTAAAAAAATGTGGTACATTTACACGATGGAGTATTACGCAGTCATAAAGAACAAAATCATGAACTTCATAGCAACCTGGATGGACTTAGAGCCTATGATACTGAGAGATCTGTCACAGAAACAAAGAACTGAGTATCACATGTTCTCACTCATAAGCGTACCTTGAACAATTATACTACTTTAAGAAAAGGATTGGCGGTAGTGGGAAGCTGTGGGGAAGGGGGTAGGGAAGCAGGATTGGCAAGAGTGGGAATTTGCCTGGGGAAAAGGGGGCATACCTCCTCAACAAGGGCACCTGCATAATGAACATTGGTATACCTAACCCTGAATTGTATTCCACATCTTTAAAATAAAAAATTAAAAGTTAAAAAAAAAAGATTAATGTCCAGTTATTAGAACAATAAATTCACACAGGAATGAACAGTGGGTTCTTTGTGAGGCGTGACATCTAAAGTGGGACTTGAAAGACAAGAAAGAAAGAGGTGAAGGGAGAGAGTATATTTTGTGGTACACTGGGAAAGCAAATTGAAAAGGTCACTTAGAGGTTTTGGTGTGACCCAAACCTTTGAGTAATGGAGACCCACTAAAGGTTTCAGGGCAGCGTTGTGCTATGGACAGTGCTTTACTTTTATTTTTATTTTTTTGAATTGGAGTCTCACTCTGTCGCCCAGACTGAAGTGCAGTGGCCGCTCC